CAAGTAAAGAAAATACAACAATAAAGTTAGCAAAAATTTTTACCTGTATTCGAAAATGATATTTTCATCGGAAACACTTTTATGTGGTTTTAAATTTGGCAAGTTTATAAATACATTTTTGTTAAAGTGTATATCACACCAGCCAAGAATGCTTGGTAAGCTAACTGATAACATTTTGCTCGATACGACAAATGGCTTAATATGGCAGAATACATAAGTTTAAGAACTACTCCAATACATTCTCTATACTTACTGCGACACAAAACAACACAAATAAAATTGATGAGTAAAATGTGTTTAAGGGTCACAGATTTTTTAAATATCTAATTATTATGCACGTATCTATATATTATAATATACAGATATAGGTATATTCAGTTGTCTTAGCTTAATTAAAATGATGTAAAATCAAATCGGGGGATATATTACTGTATACATATATAATATTAGTGCTGTCTTCATAGTTATATCTTTATAGATACATTTAATTTTGCTATGAAAAACTATTTTTAATTTATCCGTACAGTTTGGTGTAGCACGTATACACCGTAAAGAGGTTGTTCTTTCTTTCAATATTTTACAGACTAAGTAAAGTGGACTATATGTATATGTTAGTTATTTACATATATACATATGTGAAGGACAGAATAGGGTTCCAGAAAAACATTGACAAGGTACTAATAACATTTTTATATTATATTTGAAATAAGAGTCTGTAACTGACTTAAACAGTCATCTGTATGCCTGAGGTATTTCCCTCTTTTAAACACAGTTTTCGTAATATATGTGTCTCGTTCAAAATCTTGGATGAAAAACATGGCATGAGTGACGTCACATCTATAATATTTTGTTTACACCGTGTTGTCTCGGCAATGGTCATTAAATTTTTAACCCGAATACCGGGCACGTGTAGGTTGAAACAAAAGGAAATGTTTAGTAACTAAAAATATTTTTATACTCAAATATTACTTCCAGTCGGGCTAGTTGAAGTTTATATGAAGATTCATATTATAAATTAAAATATTCTGAGAACTGACATCGTATTATTTTTATAAAGTTTTATATAGAACTCTAAAAGAAGAATATTTTGCATCTCATTTATAATATACACATAATTGTAAAGAAATATTCGCGAATGATTAATTATCTATTTTAATATCATATAAACATAGTTATTTTGTACACAGTTGCACAAAGTTCTCCTTCAATCTTTGCTACAACCCTATGTATCCACCGGGATTCCTCCGCACCAAGACTATTCGCTTTTGTCCAGAACAAATTTTCGTTCGTTCGTCATCCAAAATAAACGTTTATTTATATGATTTTATTGTCTTTTTTTGGTGAATTAGAACATCAGAACAAAATTAAATACTTTGTTTTTTAACATTTCTATATTTTGTTTTGATCCTTGGAAATAAGCAGAACTTAAAAACTATCAACTAGCAGTAAGCATAAAACTCCTTACAAAAAAGTGTTAGGAATTAAATATTTATTAAATATATGTATATGTTATGTTACTATGTACACCATGACTCAACCCATGTGTGTGTGGGGAAAACAAACACCAAATCAATTTCATACCACATTCCAATTTAACATGACTATTATTGATGGAGAGCTTTCAAGGAGCTGACACCGGAGCGAGTTCACAATATATTATGTACATATGACATTGATGCAGGAAGTATTTGAAGGGATGGATGAAAGATGTAGGTAATAATTCTGTCTAATAAAAATACGATTGTTTATAATTGTACGTGTGAAATGAATATAAATGCTATTAAATAATATTTATTATTGACCAATAATAACATGAAGAGTAAAGTGAACAGAAACAATGTCAAAGGTAAGACTAAATCAAATGGACTTATATTACCATATTACCTTAGCTACGGGGGCCGAGCTTGTTAGTAATATTTATGGCATTCTCAACTTTCTTGCAAAGGGCGTAGTGAGCATATTTCTCTGGAAGACTTTCTTTATGGTAATTGCCTTTTCAGCTCCTAAATATTGTTCTTACTAAGATGTTTCTAAGTAGGTTGATTATTTTATCTTTCATCCGTACCTGGCGAATCGCAAGAAATTAATGAATTTAAAAGAATAGATTAGATCTAAAGCTACATTACAATGTTTACTCTATAAAAATGTTTATTTTGTTCTTATATAACATATTAACTAGACGTTTCATTACGACAGTGGTTCCATTACAATTGTTTTCAATAACATTTACTAACCGAAACGTTATTACTATTTAATAAAGTATCAATTACACTAGTGAATTTGAAGGTTAAAAAAATGTTGTAATTTGGAAATTATTTAATACAAATGACGATCATTAGCATTACAGGAAATTGTGAAATTGTGTATCCCTTATCATATAGTGATATTGAGTCATGTTTTATGAAATTATTTATTTTATTGTTAAAATGTAATAATTTAAAAAATATATTTTACAGTACTCGTTAATTACTTTTAAAATAGAAGATAATGTTAGTTTTGTTACAAAATCTTAAATTACCTCCAACAATTATTTGTTTTGATGTAAAGATACGATCCCAAAAGATACATTTGCAGTTACTCTGGGGTGCGATTAAACAAAAATATGTTTAACAAAGATTGTGAGAATAGATTTGTTTTATAAATTTTGAATTCAAATTTTAATGGTGATACTTGCCTAATGTTACAATAAATAGAATTCACAGCTAGCGGTAAATTTTTATTGTATTCTTAGGATATGTAAAGGAAACAGAAGGAATATATTTACATAGTATTACAGGAAATCGAGATCATATTCATAAAAACCTTAGATGAACAAGTATCTCAACAGTTACTCACTACTACTACTTTTACATAATTCAACAGTTATTTACTATTAAAAGTAATCAATAGTCTCAAATCAAGAGTTTCAATAAGCCTTGTGCACAATGAATACGAAAACGGTACCATAACGTTAAAAAAACATTTTTATTGTAAGATCGTACAAAAATTTTGCAACAGACCTCCAGGTATCCGTAGGAGCTCAATGAAGAAGTGCCATTTTAAAAATTGATAAATTCCTTTATTTAGAAATAAGTTGCCAGAAAATATTTTATTTGTATGATATATATACATTCGGGTAAGAGTGTTGTAATGTTTTAAAAACTTTAACTTTTTCATAAAAACACAGATCAAGAAGTATCGAAATACCTTTCTTGAAGAAGGTGACTCTATCTCAACTATTGCATCAATCCGATTCTTTGCTCGTATACCAAATTTCTGTCAACTTGGACCACAGCTTAGGATACGAAATTCAGCACTTCCTACGTTAGCAATTTCATAACGAAAAAAATGCTCAAGTTGTCGAGAAACATTCGCTGTCCCTTAAAAACTATGCGACCTCTAAAGCGAAGTTAGAGATTTAGTTAGAGAGTTAGAACAAAGAGTGTACCTGCTTCTTACTTTGCCTAGCAATTTCTGAAAAATACAATGATTGATCTTCTTAAACGGGTATGAATAGTCACCAACAAACAGTTTGTCGTAAGATCCAAATGTTGATATGTCTATTAAGTGCAACTTTTAACGGAAAATATTATTTAGTTAAAAAAGAGGTATAAAATCGAACACTCCGACATGACCTACAAACTTTTGAACATAAAGGTATCAGATAGACTTGTGCATATCTTATGGAAATATTAGTCATCACTTCTCCCCATTTTGTATAGACCAAAATCGTTATTGATAGTATCATCACCTTTAATTTACAAATATCACCCTCTATCCAATAACATCCTCAGCCAACTTTTGATCTCTTGGAGTCACCCTTGGGACTTTTATCTCCTGGACCTTTCAAGTCTGAATTTCAAAGGTAGGTCCCAAAAGGACCACTCACTGTTTCCAATGATGCTGTGACAGTCGATTGAAATGACTGCTAGTCAAGTAAAAATGTAATGAATAAGATAATCTTAATATCAAATTTTGTTATCATAGACTTTTTTATTATTTATACAGCCAGATTAATAAAAAGGTGATGAGAAGGCTATTGCAAAAGTACAATACAATCGAAAATTGTCAGCTGATTTTATTTTGATACTACATTCCACTTTGCTAGAAGATACAAAGCATTCAGATATTGCCAGAAGTAACGAAGAAAGAAGATATTTAGTTCCCCACTCTTAGAATAAAAAGTTCAAAATTGGTTTCTAAACATAAAATTTTATTTAATATAATACTATATAAGACGTCTTAATAATTTATAAAATGTTTTACAACAGTTACTCCTGAACAATCAGAGATTATTAATTTATGAGACAGTTGTTTATTAATTAAACCTCGTTTTGAAAGACAAAGATATACTTCTTCCCTTTTTACCCCAAACAAATGTGAGTTGAATCAATTCATTTATATTGCCTTTTAATTACCCCGGCTCTTGTTAAGCTTGATTTAAATCTAATCCATTAGATTTAACTTCCCGCTATCAAGCCTATTTGATGCCAATCGGTGGAATAATTAGCCGTTTAAATGTAATTTCAAATACTAAAACCAAACACAGTTTTTTAAGATGATGTTATAATATTTAATTAAATTTATAAAGAATTATTGAATGAATATGTTTAAATTTCGCCGTATGGAATTAACTATGAAAACACTAGCAAACAGGCTGATAAAAAAATAGTTGTACCCAGACCTTTGCTGTTTAATGCTACGTCCAATTACAATTTCATACATTTTTAATATGAGTGGAATTGGGTGGGATAAAAGTAATCCACAAGTGGAACAGACCATTAAACTTATATGAAAACATCAATTTAATTAAACTAATATATACTTCTAATATCTAATGCATTGTTAAATTCAAAGTTGGTAAAAAATATAATTCTTCAAACATACTCGTATTATATGCCGTAATGAATTTCTATAGAATTCACCCATACGTGAAATTATCTCCGGAGAGATTTTATCTTTGGACTGGTCGTTTTGAATGTTATTATTTTGACCGCGATATAACTGTGAGAACGTTTGAAATGACTTATGCTGTGGCCCAGTTTGTATGCTTATTATTTCTAATAAGCACAACTTTAGCAGGAGATAAGGGTAAGATTTAAAATATAATGATTATTATTATTTTATCTGTTAAAAAATACTTATAATATTTTAGATAGTCCTATCTATGCGGTAGTACACAAGACTCTGGCAATGACAGCGAGATCTTGCATGGTGAGTGCGAATGCAAGCGAAGTGGATTTGGAATCTCTCCGTGAAGATCCGCCTTTTCCTGAAAAATCTGCGTGTATTCTAACTTGCCTTTTAGAAAAAGTAAATAATCAAAACTTAGCCAAGAAGCTTTTCACTTAACTTCGGCTGTATTATAATTTTTCATTATTATATTTTATTAAGTAGTTTTTACTAATTGGATATTAAGTTAATATATTTATTTAAGTTTGTTTAATCTTTTAAGATATTCTTTATGTATTTTTTTTAAGATAAATATCGTCAAAAGTGGAAAGTTCTCCAAATCCGGGTTCATGACAACAATTACACCACTTGTTTTCACAAACAAAAAGAAAATGGATCATATGAAAACTGTTTCTGAAAACTGTGATAAAGAGGTATAATAAATTTTATCTTTGTCCTAAAATTACATTTTAGTTTAATTGAGTTCGATAAAAAATGTTTCCAATTAAAGTTACTCCATAACATTTACATAAAATAAAGAAATTTACATTAATATTTGTTAAGAATATTTTTGAAAATCCAACTAAAAGTTGTTATTATTTAAGAGAAATTGTTTATGATTAAGTTAAACTATATCATGACTTTAGCGAGCTTTAAGTGATTTCATTATAGGCACATAGGAATTTAAAAAAATCACCTATTTCATTTTTGTACATTTGATACAGTATGATATTTTTTTTATACTATTCTTACGAGAATTTTCGTTTTCAGGTAAACCACGACGTGGCTTCATGCGAATTGGCAAATGAAATAACATCATGCATTTACAAATACGCACCCGAATTACATTTCAAACATTAAGGCTAAAGTTTATTGATTATATTATAATTAAATATGTTATTATTTTTTGTTTTATTACCTTTTGAAAATTGAAACAGAGAAAAAGCAACTAAGCTAAACAGTTAAAATCATTTTTTACGTTTGTATCCTATATTATAACAAAATTCATAAGTATACAAATTAATTATATATCAGAGTTGGCAAAATTCACGAATTCCAAAATGTTTTCCCTACTTGTATTATGAATGAGAAAGGTTATATGAGTGATTGAATATGATGATGAATTAGTAGTAAAAAAAGAGTAGTGAATGTTATACTTTTTAACTCATTGTTAGCTGAGAGACAAAGTTAAATGAAACTAATATTTTTCGAATGGTAATAAGCGCACTTTATTATTGTAAAAAAACTACGCATACTAGATCACGATCAGACGAGATATTTTTAATTTGTAACATCAAATTGAAAGTGGGAAAGATTTACGAATTCATAATTTTCTATCAGTTTGTATTTAACTTAATTCATCAATTTGATAAGTAACATCATAAAAATATTTTTAAACAAATTATATTTCTTTCGCCGTCTGATTTAATTTAAGATCTGAGAGTTTTATAAACTTCGTAAAATAGTATATAAATTATTTTTAATTAATGGAGACAAAAAACATCTTGTTTAAATAAAATCGTATATTTAATAGTTTCTTTTGCAGATTTAAAAATCAGAAAGTCTTAGTTTGTCGTCATATTATTACCAATATAATATACCTATCATCCGTAGATACCAAATTAAAGTTACTTTTTTGTTATTCTCATATGAGGAACGAAATGCAGCCATGTTTAGTTAACATATATATTCTAAGTTCCAACTTCAGCTGACAAATTTATGACCTAATCAATCGACTTGTTCTGTACCTGTTTGTTGTTAAACGAAGTTGGGATTGATATTATTTGAAGAACAGAAATACTACACATACACAAAATGTTGATATTTTACGATAAGAATAATAAAATAATTATCAATCGTGCCACATGTGATGATGTATTTTATGAATAAATTATTTAATTAAGAAAACAAAACCTTACTATGCTTGTAAAGGTTGCTTTTACGAATGTTTTCTAACCAAATTGCCATTTCATATCACGCTTCTGCTTCTTTCTTATACCAAGTTTCTGATATTTGTTATTACGAAACATTTCTCAAGATTCTACAAAATACAGATATATAATCAAATTTAGTTATTTTTTGGGCAGTTCTCAATTTAAGGACCACTTTTATCACCGATTAATGGCAACTCAAATTACGAGTGCACAGTAATTATAAATGTAAAAAATACGAAAGTAACATATTTGTATAAATAACACACTTAAGTATCTTTAATTTTTCAAGTCGTAGAAATCTTTTACCACCTATTTTTTGCTTACATACTTGTTTATTGCCAAATAAAGTTAAGATATGAACTCATAAACAAGTTAAAGCAAAGGTTAACTTATTTACTGCCTCTAATAGTGACCTGAAATTTCTAGACAAGGAATAGATAATAATCCTGTATAAATTCAAAATTATATTCAGTTTTGATTTTTTTCAATGAAAAGAAATATTTTCCGAACTGTACCAACGAAATCCAGCAATCCCGATATAGGATGACTGTAACATCACTTACAATTAATGAAAATGTAACCATAGCTCTATTAATGCCAACTCGACTGTTCAATAAAAGTCACAATTCGTTAACAAATACTCCGAAGGTTGACATCGTATGTTGCGCTATTTTTCCTTTATCCGTGAAAATTCGACAGCGTTGTACGAAACTAAAAATAGTATTTCAAAAACATAAAAGACTTAATGTAAAAGTCACTACAAAAGATAACATTTTAAGTGAATTAGATCTTTTGAGGAAAATTTGTAGCAGTGGAAAATTTATAGGACAAATGGCTATATACAGCTTGGTTTCAAAATAAGAATTTTTGTCAAAATAGATGCCATTCTTGTTGTAGTTTACCACTACCAAATATTTGTTAATTTTTCGTGCTTTGATAAATAGGTAAAAGCGTTAACAAAGGTAAGATATAATCATGTTGACATCAGAAGATGCTTAAAATTAACATAATATAAAACAATAACAAATATTAAATTTGAATTTCTCATAAACCTTTGACAACTTACAAGAACAATACTTGTCAATAGGTGAGAACGAGGGATAAAAACGAGGTCTTACAGGATTACATGTAAATTTCATTTACGATGAAGATAATATTTATGTAAATGGTACGCGTGACAGTTATAAGTCAGGTGTGAGGTAGGTGTGGAGTATTTCCATTACACAGTACAAATTAAGGGTGACATCAATCACGCCTTATATTTTGTTTATATACGAACATATTTTGTAAATCCCAGAGGGATTTAACTTATAAAACATTTTAAAATTCTAAATAAATATAAAAAATGCTCATTGATTTTAAAATATGTATATGATAGGTACTCCGAATTAGTCTTGTAAATTAGATTTTATGATTATTGTTTTTTATTAAGTCAATGAAAACGTACACGAAGGTTGAAAGCATATTATGGGGTCACGTATTTTATTATGCCAAAAAACAAAGAAGTCGTCTACAAAGGGATGTAAGGCGTAAAAATAATTTTATGACACTTTATGACACATCGGTGAGTGACTTCAGCTTTGGCTCGGCTTAAAATTACGTCATTGTATTTTCTTAGAAAAAATTTTATCCAACTGATATCAATATTGCTTAAAACAAATATAGATAATATTTTGACTACTCATCCAAAGCTTAGTATTATTTATGTAAAAAAATACGACAATGTTCAAGAGTGAAGTAGACACATAATAATAAATTATTACTGTAAAGCTATTTAAAGGAGTCTAATAATATTTTTCCCAAAATCACATTGAAAGTCCACGAAAAATGGATATCTCGAGACGTATTATATAATCCTCGAAATTCTTATATTATTTGTGGTTTTGCATCAAGTGGATACAATATTTTAGAATGAAATCTTATTTTCCTTCACGCCTGACATTTTCTGGGAAACGCGTGAAAATAAAGAGCGTTTTATAAACCTGCATATCATTTATTATTACTGGAAACACGCAATTCAGCTCCCGACCGCTATCACCACGTTGCCCAATGTATTGAAATTCTTTTTATTATAGACACTGTATACACAGTATTATATACACAATAGTACTATAAGCGTTTTTTCCGTTTTGTTTTAAGTATCTGTGTTTGTCAAATGCTGAGCATAAAAATGTTCCACCATTTTTGGTTTCACAAGAGGTACCTGATACTTTTAATGTATTAACAATTAAACAATTCATGTACCTATACATAAATTAAATTGAAATAGCTTTAAATGTAACTGAACATTATATAGGAAAATGTAGAGAAATTTTCTTTCAATTCGTATGTTTTAAATTTCATATATTGTATTTATAAAGAAAAACTTCTAAGGACCTACAGAGTAAGCTATTTTGCTTTTATTCCCACCTATACCGCATAGGATTAGATCCGGTATAAAATTCCTCTCTAATGTCACTTGCGGCGATAAAATGTACAGAAGTTAATGTTAAAATACAGTTCTCAGATTCTTTTTAAATAGCTCTATTTACAAACAACACTTGAATTAACTCTTACTAATATCACTAGAGGTATTTTTTTGGTTCACCAAATATACATATTATTTCAAAAATATACATTTATGTTTTATTTTGTAATATCCCATAAATCAACTTGTTTCATTATACTTAACCAGATAACATCACTTGCGTAAAATATTTAATAATATGACAATAAGACAATTGCATCAATTAATAAATGAAAAAATATATCTGACATAAGATGAAATTTTTTAAATATTAAATATACACATCTCATTGATGTTGGAAGCCTTAAAATACTGTATACATTATTCTTAAAATATTTATAGTACTCAAATGCGCTTAATGTTTAAGATGAAACTGGGGAAGATAAAATATTGAACACTTAATAAATAGAGAGAATTAAAATATAGCCGAATTAAAAAAGACCGGCACGGCTTTTGACAAAACTAATGCACTTATCTTTCAATTGCATTTACCAACGATTTTAGGTCAACCAGTACTTCCGAGAGACCAGATTATTCATACAAATCTGCCTAACAGCTTCTTGAGTAACAGGATTCCATACAATCACGTAATAGCCAGTTCAGACAGAGAGTACAGTGAGAATAACAGATGCGGCATTGATAGTGGTTTTAAGGATTTTACCAATCAATTTAATGTTCAAAAAAATATATATTACACAGAAATTTTATCAAGAAATCTTGTTATTCGAAATAGGAATTCATGAAGTTACCAATAGCAGTACTTTTAAATTCAGAATATAAAAGGTTATAGGGACTTTCACAGAGTATTCTTTTTTGACACACTTTAATTTCTGTCTTTGAAAAGAATCATATCATTTATTAAAAAAATACTCTTCAAATGATATAATTAATTATTCATATAAAATAAATAAAAATTATTTATAACGTTTTAAAATGATGTATCACGTTTATTAGTTTATAAGAAAAGATTCTTAGATCATATTTTTTTACTGGCGTTCGTTATAATCATTATCATTAACATTGCGGCAGCTAAAGTATCTTGAGGAGTGCCTCCTGGACCCTCGTAATGCAAAAGTGTGAATCTCGGTATCTCAAATAGCAGTTCCAAAAAATTTATTTGCATTTTCGCAAAATATTATCACTACAAAATATACAACAGATATTTTCTGAATAAATAAATAAAGTCTTATATTATTTATAAGAGTAAATATAAATTATTATTTTTATGTTAAGAACACGTCATGTACTTTTAATAAGACTAAAGAAATTACCTTTCCCAAAACTCAACATTACCGCGTAGAGAAAAGTGCTGATCAAGTAATAAGATTCAGCATCAAATTGTTATCAAATGGATTATATCTTTGTCTCGTCTCTTAGAATATAGGAAAAAACAAAATATTCTACTTATAAGTTTAACAGTA